GGATGTTTCGGTAAAAACGAGAAAGTGTAATGTAGTTTCTACTGGAAAAAACATAAAAAAAAGGTAAATAAAAACGAGGATATTAAAAAATTAAATCATATTGTAATAAAATTAAGGTATTAAATAGTTTTTCTACGCAAAGTAATCATGGAAACGCATGGAAAAAGCACCATAACAGAAACAGAAAAAAACTAGTTGACGCATAAAAAAATCAACAAGAACTTGAAGAAATTTAAAAAAAGTATGCGAGCTTAAAAGCTTTATACACAAGACTAAACATAGAAAAGATATGAATATTTTAAATGAAACCAGAATTCAAATACCAGACAACGCAGACAAAAACCTTTTTTCGATAAAAGAAAAAAAAAAGACAGTTCAGAAAGCATAAAGTAACTAGAATAGTATATCACACTGAAAATTTATACACAAACAAATTTAATTTAGGTAAACTAAATAAAAAAAAAAGATAAAAAAAAAATGTAAGAAAATAGGAGGTGAATATATCAGTAAAACAAGACATATTCATAAAATTCTTAATAATAATAATAATATAGCAGGTAAATGTAAAAAAGGACATTAGAGTTGTATATCTTAAATAAATCCTTAAAAGCAAAACAAATTTAGCAAAGATGTCTTCTGAAATTATCTACAGACGCAGATCAGATGGAAGCCAACCAATACAAAAAGGAGACAATATGTAAAAGTAAAATGTAATTTTACTTTCCGATTCTTTGGAGTACCTTTATATTGGTGACATGTTCGGTCCAGGATATACAAAGAATGCGTCGGTACACCCACATTTCGAATGCTTCTAGTTTCCTCGTTAGCGTCTCCGTCAGCGTCCAGGCCTCCACGCCATACAGCAAGATCGAAAAAATGTAGCATTTAACTAGACGTAGTTTTAGGGAAAGAGACAAATCCTTGCTTATGAGGAGCTTTTTCATATTGCTAAATGCTGCTCTAGCTCGTTCTATTCTCGCCTTAATTTCTATGGTCTGTTCCCATTTTGCATTTTACGTTGGTGCCAAGGTACACATAAGATTCTACATGATCAATTAGTATGTTACTTATCCGTAATTGTCGAGCAGGTTGTTGCTTTTTGCTTATCAGCATCCACTTTATCTTCTTGAAGTTGAGGCTCAGGCCGTATTCCTCACTAACTGAATAAAGTCTTTCCATTACTTGTTGTAATTCCTCTATAGTACTGGCAAGGATCACCGTGTCGTCGGCATTTCTTATATTGTTCGTTAACTCGCCGTTTATTAGCCTAAATTAAGTACAAAAATTAAACTAAAGATAAACTGCTCAAAAATCAAAATTCTAGTTTTTGACCGTGAAACTTACATGCAAAATAGCGCGAAAATAGTAACCGACGGTATATCTAAAACGTTTAGAGCTACATAATATATTTAGGAATAGAAATTAACAGTGAGTAGGAACACTTAAAAGAGATTAGGAGACTTATTGAAATAGTCAGGACTAGTTCACAATACACATTTTTGTGTCCCACGAAGTTATCCAGGTAAAATTTTGGACACTAAAGTGGTACATTTGGTTCTTACTGAGAAGTAATAATTACGCTGGAGTTGTTTGAAATATAGCTGTACAGATGTGTACTAAGAATCAGCTGGACGGGTAGAACGACCAACGTAGAAGTCTTAGGAAAATAAATATTCAATTAGTTTCAACCATAAAATGAGTTACCTGTCTTAGAGGGAAATATATATGGAAACAAAAAGTATATGCCAAACAAAATTGTAGTAATACGACTATACGAGATTTGACGAAGACCAAATAAAACAACTTAACACATTTGAAGCTATAGTAGGTAGGTTTTTCAATAAATTGAAGCAACATAAAAATAGTGTTACATCTGGTATTCAATAAAAACGTTTGGAACACAAGTAGAACTGATCGAAAAATATGCGTATCTACGCAGGACCTCAACTAGGGAGTGGCAGAGATAAGGACATAAAAAAGATACAAAATATTTCCTTGTAAACAATAAGAAGGAAACTGTTATGCGACACAATGAAGCAATTAATCTACCAGTTCTTTGCAGTTGGATGTATCTCAACGAAACTTACTGTATTAGATCTGTAAGAGCGTCGGGAAAATATTGTTTTTTTTTTCAACAATCGATAAAGCTTGTAAAAACAATGTGGGTCTCTCGAGGATCAATAACAATAAAATATTATTACGACTACCAATGAAGTAGTGATAAAGATACCCAAGCAACGGGTTTGGACTGATTTTGTATCAAAATCTGATGAAACTCTAGGAGACGAAGTTCCTTGCGAGATCAACCCTGTAAACCAGGTACAACGGATACCACCCACACTATCAGAAGGCAATACCCCGTATGCCACCGGGTTCCTTGATGATTATGGCCGTCGTGATATTAGGTAGTATTTAGCGGCCCCAAAAACACCCGAGTAACATGCTTGCACTGATTTTGTGTCGAATTTCCATAAAACTCCGGTAGACTAAGATCTGGACTGACTTCAGTGCCATCCTAGGCATCAGTTACCTTGGAGAACATTGCCATTATAATATTTATGTTCAGCCACCCCAAAAACTCCCGAATAGTGATATAGAACTAATTTCTGTCACTTATTTTCGAATTACAAATTTACCATTACTGACCACTTCGAAATTCCTTTTCGAAAATGCAATTTATTTGTTTAATAATACAATTTTCCGTTCTAAATCATCACTTTAGTTCGCAAAATTTCGTAAAGCTCTTAAAAATCAAATGCAATAATTTTGATTGAGATCCATCCAACTGAAAAAAATTGGTAGGTTTTGGGTTTTCTACTGCTTCATTTCCTTACCCATATATTCAGCAGCAGGCACAAATCGCTATACACTCACCGGCATAAAAAACAGAGCACTTACATTTTTAAAATAAAAACTTAAAATTTTAATTTTTTTTAAACTTTTACTAGTGTAACGACGTAAACACAATCGCAACAAACTGTTTTAAGTAATTTCTAATAAAACTTAAGTACTTATCCGAAAAAATGCATAAAAATCATAAATATTCTTATCACTTTAAAAAGTACAAAGGTAGCTAATGGTATTCTATTTTTATTCTTTTGTTTTTGTTTGATGTGAATGAACTGTCAAGTCAAATCAAGTGTCAAACACAATTTAAAGTTAAATTTTTTACATGTTTCTTGGCAATCGGAACTTACACTAAATGACCTGGTACCGGTCCCCAACGCAAAACTAGTGCCCGTGATGATCGCTTCATCCTAGTCTACGAGATCGTCGTGCCACGGCTGTATAAATTCGGAATTAACTTCAGTACGTCCGGGATACTAACGTAAGTGAACTAACAATTAGACGAAGGCTTGGAAAAACAAATTTAAGCAGTCGCGAACCTGCAACAGGTTTACAACTTCTCAGGCAGCATCGAGTTCCGTGGTTTCAGTTTTCCAGAAACCATGCTCATTTTACTGTAAATAATTGAAGGCAGGTTTTATTAATCGATAAATCCGGGTTTACCTTGCAGTCTCTAGATGGCCGTAAGAGAGTATGGCAAAGACTCCATAAGCATTTTGCAGAATATACCTTCAGTCCTAGGGTAGGCTATCAAAGGAATTCAATTATGGTATGGGCTGGATATTCTCTAGAGGCACTTACATAATTGACAATCGTTCTGAAAGGCTCCGTAACGGCTGCCAGGTACATTGATGAAATTCTCCAAGATTTTTTTGTGCGTTATACTGGTTTTATTGGAAATGACCTTGTTTCGATGCTTTATAGTGCGAGAATCATTCAAAAGGTTTTAAATGAAGTAAGCATTGCCTGTAATGGATTGGCCAATATTGAGGTCAGATGCAAGCCCAATCTAATAGGTTTGGGACATGCTTAAGCGAAGGATACGAAGTCGTGTTCTTACGCCTTTAACCTTAAATCAGGTACAAGAAGCCCTTTTAGAGAAAGGGAAACTTATTCTTCAACAGGACATTTCTCATTTAATATTAGGCAATTATTCAAGCATGTAAAAAAAACATTCATTATGGAAATCAGTTAAATCATTTGGCCGGATACATGATTTCAGTTTTCATTATTTGAGCGTCATTTTGTTACATTTACTTACGTTTTTTCCTTAAATTTTAAATTGTTTTCTACTAAAACAGTTCTTTTTTAGAAAATTAAACTCTTGTTAGAAATTACTTAAAAAAGGTTGGTTTCGTTTGCGTTTATGTTACTATAATTTTATTTGGCGTATGGAATTTCGACACATCTACAATTAATATTACAATAAACATTACAGTTAAATTAACTCGATATAAAAATACTTAAATCATGCCCAGTTTATAGGCAAACACATTTATAGGCTACCATCACATGACTGTGATGGTAACTTGGGGCCATTTTCGCAACATATCTGCACATCGACTATGTTGAGTTCTGATCCGATTAAGTGCACACCAGGTCTTACGTGGTAGGTCAAATCCAGGAGGTGTCGCTGTGATACAAGGCATGGCTGTATTTGGTTGAGCTGCTGACCATTCACGGATCCATTTGGTGATCATGTTGAACCCTGTAGCTGCAGCTGATTCTGCAGTATGTATTTGAGATTTTTTGGAGCGCGATCTACTTTGGTTGCATTTTCTGTATATTTTAATAATAAAAGTTTAAAAAGAATTAAAATTTGAAGTTTTTATTTTAAAAATAATAAGTGCTCCGTTTTGTGCCAGTGAGTGTATATTACCAAATTATAATGTTGATTCTATCAAATATTTAGTTTCTTTCTTTTTACAATATCTTTTATGACTAAAATTTTAGAATATTAAAAGTATTACTATTCTCTCCTATTAGTATCTGGTATGGCACTTTGCAAAACATACAAGAAAGATCAATAAATAAAGTAATAAGACCTAAAGATACTTTTAAGTATAGTTGAAAAAGACTAGCTCGTACTCGATTACTTAAAAAAAATTCTACCACTTTCCATATATTTAAAAATACATCTTACATTATTCATCTTATTGCTGATACTGAACATTTTTAGCATATCTGACATACCCACGATTAGGTAAAGAACGATATAACCTAGTTACATCTATACTATCCTTTCCTGGTGCGGCTTCTTCAGGTGGGAAGTAATAATGAAAGCTTGGTGCTTGGACAGCAGTAGTCTGAAAATAATTGGGAGTCACTTTAGGTTTCCTTCTCGTATGTTTTGTACGCTGGACACCCTTGGTATTGTAGGTACTTAAACCTGGAGTTGTTTTGGGTTTTTTGTTAGACGTAAACGTCCCTGGAATATTTGGTTGTGTGATGCTGTCTTTAGATTTGGATTTAATAGGTTTAAATCCAGTTTCTACATGAGGATCACTAGGTACATCGTTATTTTGTTGATAATAATCTTGAAGGTACTTCCTGATTTCTGCTTCAGTTAGTTCATGTGAAGGCTGTACAGATACGTCTTTGGATGAGTATTTGTATGATTGAAAATGCTTACTTTCCTCTGGATTTTTAAGGTTAATCTCTACAGGATTAAGAACGCTAATATCGACAGGCTCTACATGGCTACCTTTAATTACACTTAAGTCAATTGGTAGTTCCGGAACTAAGTTTTCATATTCTTCTTTAATAGATAACTGGGATTTTATTGCGTTCGGATTTTGAGATTTATAGCGGTGCTTGGTTTTAACTGGCGTATGCTGTGATTCTTCTACACTTTCTTCCTGGTGAATGTACGCATAATTTTGTTTGACCAAATCTTCTTGTGCTTGGTGACTTGAAGCTTCAGCTTCATATTTAGCTTCTTCTTGTTCTGGATAAATATACTTATATTGTACATTGTACTCTGGATCTTTAGGTTCCTGGTGTAATTTCTGACCCTCGTAGCCCTGGTGCAAAATTAACTCATTGTGACTAGATGGTTCAACTTTTGAATGTATGTGGGTGATTGGATGTTTAAAAGAACCTGTGTGTTTGACAACGGCATTAAAGCCACTGTGTTCGTCCGCGCTGTATTCTACGGTTCTAATTGAACCATCTGGTTCGACAAGGGAGTAATGGCCTGTTATTTTATTTCCATCTTTTTTCTCCCATTGGTGTTTAATATCCCCTGTGTGGTAATCTTTTACTCCATAACTAAAACTATAGTCAGTTGGTTTCTAAAAATAAACAAATAATATTAATTCTTACTTAGATTATATCAAAAATAAAATTATTCATTTAAGTGTATATATTCGTGAATAATAATTTAGATTCTCACAAGGTAGATCAGCAACAAATGATAGTTTCTTTATAAGTAAGCTGATGAAAAACTAATAATATGGTACTTGTTGATCTTGAGAAAGCGTATGTAATATTATTCTACGGATTTTCTGGTGGACACTAAAGTGAAATAAAATGTAGCTAAAAGATCATTAAATAGAAAAGATTTATGAATCTGAATTCAGATATCTGTATAGTTGGTTGCCTACCAGTACCCACAAAATTTTACCAAACCTTAGTTCACCTATATTATTAGAAATTTTTCTCAACGTAATTTTAGGGTATATTCATTAATTTTTTAAATATTGCTGGCTATTATCATATTCAGAAAAATATCTCAAGTTAAATTGACTGCTTTGTTCCGACTTCCGTCCTAACCTGATATTATTGTCATTTAAATCAGTTGTTATCAACAAGTCCTCATAGACACTTTGTCTAACGACTAGCAACGTGGAGTCGTAGGTTGCCATATTATCTATTCCTCTTGTAACTTAAACATTCTAAACATGTAACGCAAATATCTTAACTGTATGTATACTTAATAGTATCTTAACTGTCTTATAGTAAACCCTAACCGTCTTTTTCTTTTTATTCCGATTTACTCTGTACGAGTACTAGAAACCAATTCACTAAGGATTTTTGCTTAGTTGAGAAGATATGTTGTGGAATGCAAATTTTGGATTTCCCATGTCTTTAATAACATCTTTATCAACGTCCATTTTGCCTTGCAATGCTTAAAAGGCACAGATTAAAACAAAAATTTGAATTTGGTTTCGAAAATTAGTTTACGAATTTATTATCAGATGTCGCTATTTGCGTCCATTTGATGCAATGTTAGAGTTGCTTCCTAAGACAGAAGAGATTTATTTTCAGGTCCAGAGCGACTGTAAATTGCCGTTCTGACGAAGCCTATTAGGCCGAAATACGTATAAACGGATACATAGACGAACTATACGTGAAATCAAATCTTAACTTTCTTTTCCTTTTTATTCCGATTTACTCGATATAAATATAGAATACTACAACTGATTCTTAAGGGTAAATTAATAAGGTTATTGCCTACTTCGGATAATTCCAAAATCATAAGTTAAGAAAAAGAAGATTTCAGGCAGAGACTTCTGCAATTTTTTTATAAGAAAAATTAACGTAATAATAACGTTCTAACTAATAAAGTAAATTAATATATTGCACTGATAACTAGACAGCGATGGCACAGAATAATAAACAATCAGAATGTCCACTCTCCATGGAAAATTAAGTACGCACATCTCCTTCGCGCAGACGTTCCGCCATGTTTTAGAGGAAACCAGTGTTGTTTATGTGGTGTGTATAGACAAAATTAACCAGGTTTAATTGATTACGGCAATCATAGACATACTATACAATTATATCAACATTATTAAATATAATAGCATAAATAATATAATATAATTAAACATAAATATAAACAATTACATAACCTCACAACTCATATGTCTGTGTTATGTGTTTCCTTCTAAAACATGGCGCGCTTGCTGAAAAACTTCAAAGGCGGCATCTGAGAGTAGACATTCTGATTGTTTATTATTCTGTGGCCATGGGACTTTTCTTAGCCGTAAGGTAAACTCTAGGCTGGTGTGGCAATGCTGATAGGAACGCTAACGACTGGCGGAACATAACAGTGTCACGCTAATAATAATAAAATAACTAGGTTTTAGTTCACAGCGGAATCCTTGGCAATAAAAGAGCTGATGAACTTATCAGAAGAGTTTGCGACCGGTAAAAAGCCTGGATCCTAATGCAATATGACTCTCACTGAGAAAACATACCCGGTCAACCGACATCATAGTCTTTAATCTAGGCGGTTATATTAAACTTAAAAACCGCTGTTTTTTTAGTTAAAATTTACTTTAAGCTCTACTTACGTAATCATCATGAGCTGGAGCATAGGAATGCAACGGATTCGAATTTGCGATTGCCAATAACAGTAACAGGCCCAATAATTTCTAAAAAAAAATAATTAAAACTGCTAGTTAAAAGTAAGTCATCTCAAGAAAAAATATCAGTTTAAAATTGTTGGTAATAATAAATTAATAAAAATTGTCTACATATAATTTTTTATCACAAAAGAAGGTCTTTTTTTAAATCATTTAGCTTTATTTACAGTTCTAGACTGTATTTTGGATGTAACTAACAATCTAAATTATCTGTGGTCAAACATCTTGAGTTTTGCTTCCACTCTTAGGATTTTATAAATAAAGCAGGTCTAATAACGCTTTATTTACTGATATACTAAGAGAATGGTTCTCGAAAACAACGGCAAAATAGTACTTTGATTATTAAATTATCAAACACTGAGCCTCATGAGTCATTCTTTAAAAGTACTGCTGAAAGTAATACGCGAATATACGAAAGCCTAGAGAAGGATATTAGCTAGACGCAGTTTGGGTTCCGAAATGGAATGGGTAGTAGAGAAGGACTATTTGTCATCAACATATTGATTCAGCGATGTCGGGATGTAAACGTTGACCTACACTTGTGCTTTGTTGACTACGAAAAAGGTTTCAATAAAGTAAGACATGAAAAACTAGTATCAATACTTATGATCAAGCATTGATAGTAAAATCAAAAATATAGTGCAAACATAATATTGGAACCAAAGTGCCATAGTTCAAATAAATGGAAAACACTCAGAATCAAATGAAGATCTGTAGAGGAGTTAGACAGCTATATGTTTTCCAAAAAATGCCCAATAATATCAAAACTGGAGTTACCGTTAACGGAAAATTAATTAACAACTTATGATATGCAGACAACAATGTTATCATAGCAACGAGTATAGAAGATCTACAACATCTTATCGAAAGCTTAAGTATGAATAGAGCTTAGGTAGGAATTACTATAATAAACACTTAAAAAACCTTTTATTTTGATCAATGAAACCAATAATCATATTGCAGAAATAAATAGGCGAATGGAGATTGCAAGATCAGCATTTATACGAATGAAGCCGCTCCTAACGTGCAAAAATCTAGATGTTGGGATCAGACTATGTACCATTCGCTGTTATTTAGGTATTATTAATATTCTTATATGGAGCTGATACTTGGAGATTAAAAAATGCAATTTAAAAAGAATCAAGGTTTTCAAACTCTGGTTATATCGCAGGTTATTAAAAATATCATATACTGATAGAATTATAAATAAAGAAATACTGGAGAGGGTTATTTATGGTAATCACGAAATCAAAGAACATCAGAGCTAATCTTGTAATAGACAATACAACGATTGAGCGTGTGCCCTGTTATAAATACCTAGGTGCTTGGATCACAGACGATACTGATCAAACAAAAGAGATTAGATGTAGAATAGAAATCGCTAGATCCGTCTTTAATAGAATGCGCAAACTCTTTTGCAATCGTGATATCAATATAAAGTTACGAATACGAATGCTGCGGTGTTATGTCTTTTCTACCCTGTTATATGGAGTTGAGGCTTGGACACTAAAGCAGTTGACCATAAAAAACATCGAAGCTTTCGAGATGTGGTGCTATAGGCGCATTCTCAGAATATCATGGATGGACCGCGTCACTAACACGCAAGTACTCCAAACTTTAGACAAAAGATGCGAAATTCTAAATGAGATAAAAACTAGAAAGATGGAATACTTGGGGCACATTGTGAGAGGTGAAAAGTACGAACTTTTAAGAAACATCATGCAGGGCAAAATTTAGGGCAAAAGAAGTGTGGGAAGAAAAAAAATATCGTGGCTTCGTAATCTACGTGAATGGTTCGGGTGTAGTTCGATTGAACTTTTTAGGCGCGCTGCTAACAAAGTCGCAGTGGCCATGATGATTTCCAATCTCCGCTAGGAGTGGCACGAGAAGAAGAAGGAGAGGGTTAGTAAAAAAACAGGATTAATCACCACAATACAAACCAGACAACTGGAATACCTAGGCCACGTGATGAGGGGACCAAAATATGAAATTTTAAGACTCATTATACAGGGAAAGATTTAAGGAAGAAGATCTGTTGGGCGAAGGCAGAACTCATGGTTAAATAATCTACGTGATTGTTATAAATGCAGATCGATTGATTTGTTTAGAGCAGCAAGTTCAAAAATAAAAATAGCTTCAGTGGAAAATTCATTTTACATATTAAATATTTTCTTGGGTTTTTTGGCAAAATCAGTTTCTCCTCTTCCCCTTGTTGGGTCGAACTTTATAAAAGGCTTGTGATGCACCACATACATGGGATGACAACAGGAGCAGATATGCTAAAACTAATAGCTGCTCAAAAATCAACCAAGCTCGATCCTGGCATCTTTATTCGGCTATCCTGTGAAGCAAACATCAGCTAACCGCTACATTCTGCAATGATTTGAAGCCAACAAGTTATCCAGTGCTGACATTAGGATCATTTTATATTTGTAAAGCTTATAGGCAAGATTTTTTTTCATTAATTTAATATCAAAATTTTTAATTTTGATAGTCATTTATGTACAATAAAAATAATTAGTGAATATCTTGGTTTTTTTGTCCCAGTCGAACTCATTTTTAATTATTTACTTCTAAAATAAGACTTTCTCACACATAAGAGATTGAGCTAAACGACGCCTAACAATTGGCTTCCAAAGAATGTTGTGAGTTTTATCTACATTGGCTTCCAACTTTCGTAGGTAGTTATAATATTAACCATTAGCATCCAACGTTTCTGATGGGCCATCCAAAAGGTTACAAGCTTTGTGATCTTCTCTCATTAGAAAATATAAAGTAAGTTTATAAGAAATCACTCCTTCTTATTCCTTAAGCCCTTGTCAGGGCGTGGTGACACTAGAGATATTATCGGCTTGCTGCATCCATTCGCTTGGAGCTTGTGCCATATGGACGACTTCATGTAGGGATATTCCAACCAGAGTTTTCATTTGTTCTGTCCAACGTGTTGGAGATCTTCTTCTTAGTCTTCGGCCTTCTGCTTTTCCTTCTACTAAAAATAGTTCAAAAGTCCCCGTTCTTCTAGCTATTTGGCCGAAGTAAATATGGTATGCTCTTTTTCTATTTCCATGGATTCTCTAAATTCTGAATTTTGTTCAAATTTATTGTATGTCCTTCGTTAAAGTCACGTTGTGCAAGAGACGACCTTTTGTCTCTCCTTTCTCTTTTCTCGTCTAATATTCATGTCGTTTATTTTTGTTGTGTAGTCTTGAATATTCATTACTACCCTGGCATTGCATTTGTCAGCTAAAAGTGCAATAATTTCTTTGTTGTTCTTCAAATTATATAATGTGTCTTTTTATTCGTGAGTTAAATTTTTTTTGGCGATTTGGCTGTTCGTAATATTTTTTTTGATCCGACTTGGCGGATGATCTCGGCTTTATTACTACAGTCGTCAGAGACAAAAATGCCACTGAACCTCTTAAAGTCAAGATGCGTTTTAAAGGTAAAGAGTTTAGACTTTGCATTCAGTTTTGTGTTTTGTCGCAAAAAAAACTCAGATTTTATACAGGTGGTAAATAAATAAACATCTCGCGATTTTTGCCATTTTTTATGTTTCTCACGAGATCAATCTAATCTCTTTCTTTCATTAACTGGTCACTACAAAGTTTTGATTTAGAGCCTTTACCTTTAAAAACTTTAGCATGAAATTTTAGTTTTGCTTTGTAATAATAAATATGAGGCATTTGAAATATGTTTAAAAAACGCTAAATTTAAACTTTCACATAACAAACAATTTAAAACAATAATTTTTTTTTAATTACACTAGCACGTTTTTTAAAAGAACAAAACTACTGCAATAATCTACACCCAAAACAGTCTGCTTAGATGCATTTTCCGTGACGTGTGATTGTTTGTAACGTAAAAAATTAAATTCTGCGATTTTTATTCATATTTAAAATACCTCATATTTATTACCACAACTTAAAATTGCAATTTCATGTTATAAGTTTTAAAAATTGATCTCTAAAAATAAAAATTTTACTACAACTGGTCAATGAAAGTATTCAATTTTATTTTTAAAACGTTTTTTAAAAATATGATAAATTATGTTCAATATAATTTATTTGATATATTTTACATTAGTGTATTAAATTTTTTAAAATATTTTTCCAAATTGTTAGTTATGAAGCATATTACAAATTACATGTCAATATATCCTAAATAATGAAAAGGTTTACTAAAAATGTTGTGATTTTTTATTGTTTAAACTGTTTATAAAATAGTTATGGAAAATTAAAGGTCAAATACATAAAATATAAGAAAACGAAAATAAACCAAAAAAACAAACATCCCTTATAAAAAACTACAACACCCAAACTTTAGCAATGTTTAATTTCAGATAAAAAGTTACTTTACACATTCTTACCAAATATTAACTCTATAGTTATCACACATTGATATCTTACAAACATTACATGAATTCTTAGTCTTTTCATCATTTTTTTCGTGGATAGAGCCCACATCTTTTTCATTTTTGGTTCATATCGGGATTCACGTTTTCATCAATCATCGGTTTGTTCAGTATTCTACTGATGTTCATTCTCAATTCTCTTGGAAGTCTTTGGTTGATAATTCTTCTATTCGAATGTCGTTCAACGAGTTGTTTGGCGAGCAGCTTCAAAAATTCTGCCCGTATTATGTTATTTTCTTCTGGATAGCTTTGGTGTAATATATATGAATTAACTCCTGCGATGTCGATGATGGAATGAAATATCGCTATAGGAAAACGCCCAGTATGTCTACTTGAACTATAACTTACTTACTTAATCAGTAGACCCATTTGTACCTTTCGGTGTTGGGCCGTTTATAATACAATTCTTTATATTACAATATTTTACAATCTTCTGAGATGTCCTAGCTCTTAACGAACTTTCTCCATTCCTTCCTATTGTATGCCATCTGTGTTGCTTTCTGTCAAGTCTTACCCTTACTCTGCAGTATCTGTGAGATGTCACTGTTCCACTCTTTAATGGGTCTTCCTCTTCTGTTCTTCCCTATTGGTTTGACGTCCCACACTCTTTTTACTTGTCTATTATTGTCCATCCGGGTTAGATGTCCGAATCATGCCAATTTTTTCTCCTTGATTGATTCGAGAATCGGTTTGATTTTTAGTCTTTCTCTTATTTCTTTATTTCTGATTCTACCAGTTCTTTTTACTCCGATCGTTCTTCTAAGGTATTTCGTTTCTACTGCCTGAATTCTGCTTTGATGCCTTTTGTTTAGTATCCAATTTTCTGCTCCATATGTCACTGTAGGTCTATATATTGTTTTGTATATTGTCATCTTGGTCTTTGTTGATATTTCTTTGTTATGAAAGAATCCTCTATTTATTGCTTGAAATAGTTTTTCTGTGTTTTCCATTCTGTTGTTAAGATCGTTCTCGATGTCTTCTTTGTTTCTGATTACTGTTCCTAAGTGTTTGTATGAATTTGTCTGTATTATTTTCTGTTGGTCTATCATTATTTCAAGTTGATCTTCCGTCCCTTGTTTCCTTGATATTTTTATTATCTGAGTCTTCTCTTTGTTTACGTTTAAGTTGTATTTGCTTGCTTCTAGGTTCCATTTCTCTAAGTTGTATTTCAGTTTTTCTGCTGTTTCCGCAATTAATACTATGTCGTCTGCAAATGTACATATCTCAGCGTTTATCATTTGCATTCTGTTCTAACCGATGCAGTATTTCTTGAACGTTTTTTTACATTCTTTCACTATCTCATCTATTACATTTATGAATAGCACTGGGCTGAGACTTCCTCCTTGTCTAACTCCTTGAGTTGTTTCAAACGGTTTTGACTGTATATTTGACATTCTTACTGTGTTTGTTATTTTCCTGTATATACTCTTTTTTGCTTCTATCAGTTCTTCACTTACTTGCTTCTTCTTTAGTCTTTCCCATATATCTTTTCTTTTGACTGAGTCGAATGCTTTTTCCATGTCTATAAAGCTCAGATATATTTATCTATTTTTCTTTAAGGCTTTTTCTGTTACTTGTTGCATGGTGAATATATGGTCTTGTGTGTTGTGTTCTTTCCTGAATCTACTTTGTACGTCCTCTAATTTATGTTCTATTTCTTTCTGATTTTTCTTTCTATTATGGTTTGGTATACTTTTGTTGCTACACATAGTAGTGATATACCTCTATAGTTCTTACAGTCTCTTGTGATTCCTTTCTTGTATATAGGTATAATTACTGCATTTGTCCTTTCTCTGGGTATTAATTTTCTCTTCCATATTGGGTTATATATGTATAACAATTTTTCTTTTGCTTTTACTCCTATATATTTCATCATTTCTGGTGCTACTTCATCGCTTCCTGGTGCTTTTCCAATCTTTACCTTTCTTATTGCTTCTTCCATTTCTTCTTTTTCTACAGTTTCTGGATTTTCCATGTTTCTTATGGATACTCTCTTGATGTGGCTTTCCTTCTCCATTGTATTCGCTTGATTTCCATTCAGTATCAGCTGGAAGTGTTCCCTCCATCTTTCCAATATTGTCTTATGGTCTTTTATTATTGTTCCTTCCTTGTTCATTATTTGTTTTAGTTTCGTTTCTTTGTTGCTTCTTAGGGTTTTTAGTGTTCTATAAAATAATTTTACGTTTTCTGTGCTGTTTTCTTCCATTTTTTCTCCGAATTTTATCCAACTTTTCTTTTTCTCTTTCTTAACTATCTCTTTAACTTTTGTTCTTTGTCTCTTATAATTTTCATATTTTAGTTGTGTTTTGTCTTTTATGTATTCTTTCCATAACTTCTTCCTTTCTTTTATTTCTTTTTTCACTTCATGGGTCCACCAAGATGTACGTCTCCCTCTGTTGTTATTTCTTGTAGTTCCACATATTGATTTAGCTGTTTTTATCATCGCATTTTAAAATTTTCCCCATTCTTCTTTTATTGTTTCTGTTATTTCATGTTCATTGTCCATTACTTTCTCTATTCCTTCTTAGTATCTTATCTTCGTTGTTTTTTCCATTAGTTTATAAATTTTTATTATTTCTTTGTGTTTTTTGTTTATGTTCGCATTTCATTTTATTTCTTTTCTTTTGCATTTGAATGTGGTTTCTAGTAGATAGTGGTCACTACCAATTTCATAAACCCTTTTCACCCTTACGTCTCTTATCCATTTCTTCTCTGTTTTTTGCATTATACTATAGTCTATAATTGATTGTTCATCTCTTGATTTAACTTCTCTTGTGATCTCGTGTATCTTTTTATGTTGGAAGTGTGTGTTCATAATCACCAGGTTATTGTCTAGACAGAATTCGAGTAGTAATTTTTCATTTTTGTTTATTTTTGCCTCCCCATAAGGTCCGATGACATTGTTCCATTTTTCTGCTTCTTTTCCCACTCTACTGTTCATGTCTCCTGTGATCACAATTTTCTCTGTACAATCATTTATCACTTTTTGTAATTTGTCCCAGAACTCATTCTTTTCGTTTTTTGTTACGTCTTCATCTGGTCCATAGCATATTATTAGGTTTGTATTGGTTCCCTCTGTATCCATATCTATGTCTACTCTTAGTATACGTTCGTTGTAATATATCCAATATTTTACTTTGTTGATACTGTCCTTCTTTATCATGCACGCTACCCCTGCCTAAGCTCTCTTTGTTTCTTCCACTCCACTGTATATTAGTAACATTCCGTTTTCTACTTGAACTATAAATTACACATTTTTTATTCAGGGCATCTACGCCCCCCTTGGTTTCATTATAAAAGACAATAATTTCAGGTTTGCCAGTTTTAATATCAGTGTATATTTGTTGATGCATTGTAGAAACTAAAAGTACAGCCTTACTTTTCTTTAAAACATAAAACACAATTGTAATATGTTTAGTAAAACCCCAGATGCAACCCTCTGCTTCTTTCTTCTGGTTGGGCAAAAATTCGGTGGGAATTTCTTTCTTGTTCTTCTTAAGCGTACCTACATATGTTATTCCTCTTTGTCGCAACTCATTTGCAAGTTCAATAGAGGTGAACCAATTGTCTGCAGTTACATTTCTGTTGGTGTTTATAATAGATTGAATAAAATTTACCACGGATTGGGTTGGTACAGCCAAACGTCTTACTTTATCTGTTAATTTTTTGCCATCGCTGCCTTTGCCGGTATAAATATATTCATTGAAAAAATAATGAGTACAGGCATCAGTAAGAATCAAGACCTTCGGACCATACTTGTTGAGTTTATTTGGTATGTACGTGGGAAACTTTACACGCCTTCTAAAATCTATGAGAATCTCATCAATACAGGTGTAGAATGTCATTGTCGATTAGACACCTCCATATTTGTAAAGGTGATGCACTTATGCCAAACTGTACGAAGTCCTGGTAAATACGAAAGTAAGTTATGTTTCTCTGTTCTCATTCTGTGTACAAAAGGTTGTGACGATTCGCAAGGAATCTACGTTCATGTAGTTGGCTGTATACCATGTATTAAAAACTTTAATTAAAAATGACGACACTTAAATATATTTTGACCAAAATAACTCCATTTTCAACTTCTTCACCACTTTCAGAATCGGATTTGTCATACAAGTCACCACTAGCTCCTTCACTATCATCTTCTACTACCGAATCTGTATCATGCTCACTTTCAAAGTCATTTAAAGAGTCATCGGATTCTTCCGCTAAACTCACTTTCTACCTCGCCGTGCTATGCTGGCAACAGAGTTTCTTCATAGTTTTTATCACCGTAATGTACTATTTTGGACAAACCTGCCATTTGCGTAATTTTTTTACAAACACTGACGTGGTGCCACAATGACCCCCCTCAAACTTTAGATAGTTATAAATACCATACTACTGAAAAACTTATCAATAAGTGAAGCGATCGATGTCACTGTAACTTAAAGGTAGCTGCGAGTCACTAACCTATAACAACAAAAATAAAAAATAGCGCGTAATTTGAATTCTGTCGGGGGTTGTGTGGGCACCACGTCCGTAGTAGACGGTTAAGATGCTCTAGGAAGCGAAAGTACTTGGGCAAGATTTAATTAATAAAACAGTGCTCGATATCTGCCTTTCATTTTATCAAAGTTTATAAAAAATCACATGTCATGGTCAGAGGATCGTGAGAAAAAAGGTTTCCATAAAAAGAAAAAAACTTTTTTTATAAAGTTAATTATAAATTTCTAGACACTAAAAATTTCTTAGTCTTTTTAATTTCGGTTTTTCTATTTTGACCAATGGTTTAGTGATGTAAGTCTTTTTTAATCGTGAACAATTTATACAAAGACGAATTTATTTTAAATTGCTAAATCAATGTAAGTGCACATATTTTATTCTAATGTTTAAAAACAAAATAGATAGATGAATAATACATGCAATTATGTAAGTACATTAATTATAATAAAATGGTAATTAGAGCA